TCCGGGGTCAGGGCGGGCTCCGTGCCCGGTGTCATGGGGTAAATGTCCTCCTGGTACGTCTCGGACTGGAAACACAGGGAAAGAGCAGCCACTCCATGAACCCACCCCGTGGACAACGGAGAGACCCGCGGGGAGGGGAGGAGCCGGGGGGTGACCTCCTGGGTGGGAGACTTGGGGCACAGGGAGCAGATTTGGGAAGTGCTGGCCGGCACTGGGAGGGGAGGGAGGAGGATGAGCAGCTGCTGAGCTGCCTCAGAACCTGGGATGGGCCCTCCACACAGTCCCGGGTTTGCTTCCCAACACCAAACCCTGATCCGAGATCTGTTTTCCCAAAACACCCCCAAACCTCAGGTGAGACAAGCCCCTTGTTCCCCAGCACTGCAGACCAAGCTGATTTTGTACAACACATATGCCAGGAGAAATGTAGAGATGCATTTCCAAAAAAACATTCCCATTAAACCTCAGGCAAACCCCCCCGGGAATCCCTGGGATGTGCAGCGACGGAGAGGTCTGAGCCTGGTGCAAAGAGACCCACCCATGAGACTGGGCAAAGTGGGGCATGTCCATCCCTCTGGGCCCTTCCCAGACCCCCCCGTGGACTCACCCTCCTGGGCACGATCATGGAGATGGGCTCGATGAGCCCCTTGAGGGTGATGAGTTTGTAGAACCGAAAGACCTCACAGGCCGACACGTCCAGGCCGTGCTTCGGCATCACCCCTGCGGAGCAGCACCGCCTGTCAGCCCGGCACAGACACCCAGAACAGCCCCACCAGCACACCCAGGAGCAACCCCTTCCCTGGATCAACCCTTGGCATCACCCCGAGGACCTGGAGCACAAGCTGGGCCACACTAGGTTTGCAGGGATGCTGGGAAAGGGATGAGCAGCCTTTATTTGGGACAATCACTGATGTCCCCTGCTGAAGCCACGTGTGACAGCGGGAAGGGTGTCCTTGGACATGCACCAACCCCAGCAGGGCTGAATCACCCTGGGAAGGACGCACAGGGATGGGAATGTCACCCTGCAAGAGCTGCAGCTGATGCTCTGGAGCTGGAATAGCACCCGCCAAACCCATCCCAAACCCATCCCGGACCCATCCCAGACCCATCCCTGACCCATCCCGAACCCAAACCAAACCTGAGCCAAACCCATTTGCCTGTGACATTTCATTAAGCACCTTCCATGATCCAGCCTTTCCCTGCTCCCAGCAGAGCAGCAGCAGCCCGGGATCCTTACCCAGTCCTTTCTGCGGGGCGGGGGAGCGGAATTCCATGAGGTAACTCAGGTAGGGCTTCTCGGAGCCGATCTCGTAGTAGCGGATGTTGCCGTCGCCCTGCAGCAGCAACGGGAATGGGGACAGGTTATTCCTCTGGGAAATGTGAGGGGGGATAAGGACCATCATAAAGACCAGTTAGAGGGTAGGGATAGGTGGGATTTTGGGAAGAAATTCCTCCCTGTGAGGGTGGGGAGGCCCTGGC